CATCTGTCTTGTACTTTTACTTCTGTCATTTGAAGTGTTTTTACTTCAAGTTCCAACTTCGTGTTTTCCAACTTGAACGTTCTTTCCCTGTCTCCCCCTCTTTCTTTTTGCTCAGCTAAGAACCTTCTCTTCCTTTCTTTATCTTCTAACTCCAGTTGTCTCATTTGCAATTTAATTTTTTCAAACTCCATGGCACTTGACTGTTTCTCTGATACACTGATCTGCTTGACCAACTCCATTATAATTTCAGATTTCCTTTTATCCCTCATTAAACCCAAATTTAACCTGTTTGCTAATTCTAAAAGTATATCCTTTCTTTGTCTTTCTAAACTTACTTGGCAATTTTTGGAAGCATCTCTAAATCCTAGAACCTCTTTAGAAATTTTAAGAGTTGTTTCCCTCACTTTTAATTTTAACCTACCACACATAAGCGAAATTAAACAGATTTTCCACGCCTATGTTTTATTTAAAGATCTAGGACACTAATCCCCAAGTCTGTTTAAATCTATCCAAATCCATTCAGAGCCGTTCAAATCTCCTACACAAACCAGTCAGATCCCAAACTCAAATTGTCCAGATCCATTCAGATCCCAGACTTGAGCCCCCAATTTTGTTATGGAGGGGGAATAGCCAAACCCCTCTGATAATTAAACTGAAACACAAGTCCCAATCTGTTATAATGAGAGTAGGAATTCCCCTCTAATAATTACTCCCGTAACACCCAGACAAGCTTGCCTTTCCCCTCATAATCTCTTAAAAGAATGGTTAAAAGAAAGAAAATCCCTGATCTCCACTTTACAAGTGACAAGAAACAATTTATTTATTTAATCCAACAATGAACACGTTAACAGAATTACTAACAAACTGACAATCCCCCTGCTTCGACTACTAACTACTTCCTAACTGGTCTAAATTCTACTGGAATACTGTTCAAATAAACACAAGTCCCACTTAATAAACCCAATTAATAAATGAACAACTCTCCAAGTTCACACATTCTGTCTTCAGAAATATTCTGTCTTCTCCACTCTCTTCACAAATGCCTTTGTTCCACTATTTCTGCTGTCAGGGATGTTTTATCTGTATAATTTCTTCAACGAGGACTTTGAGCTAAAATACCGTAGTACCTTTGATTAATTAGATGAGCTTTCTCTGAGAGCTGAATGGTGCTTACTCTGGCTGATGGCAGATGGTCCTCCCCAATTTTCCAAATGCCCCTGTCTTATATACCCATAATGACATAATCAAATCCTTATGATATGATTGCTTTCAGGTTGTTAATACCATCAGATTTAAATTCAGTTGGCTTTCTGTATCTAGGTGCTTGGTTTAAATTAATTGGCCAAATTCAAACTTGTTGTCTTGGAAAAAAATGCTGCTTGGCTGTTCTACACAAAATGTTTCTATTTGGGCACTTGCATTTATAAACTTGCAAGCACAGACAAAGCATAAGCTCTTAAAGGGACCATGGCATTCTTTTCCCCACGATCATTTTTACTAACAAATTCTAACTTCCTGCCTTCCAATTCATGAATACTCTGCCCAATTTCATAACAACTACCCCTCCACCACCGACCTCCAGCACTGCCCACACATTTTCCAATTTGCTCTCGATTTGCAATGAAATATCATTTGTACTAGGCTGGTGGAATCCCAGGATTCTTGGGTGTGAGGTTAGTTGGATGTGATGATGGTGCTGAGATACTGCATACATATGGTGGCATGATGGGGTAGAGAATGATGTACCTCCTGTGTACAGAGATTGGTGGGAGGTTGGATGGTTCCGTCAGGCTCGCTTGTGTACAGCAGGAAGATGGGCTGTTGTATACTGTACCGCTGTCACTGTTTAAAGAATGTAAGTGAATTGCTGCATATTGTTATTCCCTGAATGGCACTGTAGCATACTGGAGCTTTTGCAATCACAATATAAGTGCATTGTTGTGTCCTGTAGTACATGACTGTGTATACTATACCCCAGTGTATGTTTGCAGGCTGTAGGTGGGTTGTTGTACACTGTCTCTCTCTGTGTACAGACTGTAGTTGGGTTGTTGTATACTGTAACTCACTGTGTAACAGAATGTAGATGGGTTGTTGTATACTGTAACTCACTGTGTACTGTCTGTAGGTGGGTTGTTGTATACTGTAACTCACTGTGTAACAGAACATAGACGGGTTGTTGTATATTGTAACTCACTGTGTACTGTCTGTAGGTGGGTTGCTGTATACTGCAACTCACTGTATAACAGAATGTAGATGGATTGTTGTATTCTGTAACTCACCGTGTACAGTCTGCAGGTGGGTTGTTGTATACAGTAACTCACTACCTACAGACTGTAGGAGGGTTGTTGTACACTACACCCCAGTCACTGTGTAACAGAATGTAGGTGGGTTATTGTACACTGCAATTCATTGAGTACAGACTGTAGATGCGTCGTTGTATACTACACCCCAGTTGCTGTGTACAGCTTGTAAGTGGGTTATTGTGCACTGTAACTTTCTGTGTACAGTCTGTATGTGCGTTGTTGTATACACTACCCCAGTCACTGTGTAACAGTATATAGATGGCTTGTTGTAGATATTTTCCAGTCAAACTGTTCAGAGATGTTATTACACACCTCAAAGAGCCTGCATGTCTCCTACAGTGTTTCGAAGGTCCACTTCACAACTATAGCAGCAATGAACATAGAATGGCATGATCCCATTAGGTACTCTTGAGGTCCACATCAAAGCTCTGTATACACCAAGTCAGCAGACTATTGTTAGGAATATAGACACAGAGACAAAATCATTAATGAGGGTTAGCAGCATTTTCAGTGGTTACAGTTCCATAATGAGCCTCATTAGGATGGTTGTACCCAGCCCAAATATCTCCTTGCGTTAGTTGCTCTGTCCTTGCCATCAAAAAAAATATACTTGCCAGAGACAGGCAAGTTTCACCATACAAATTCCTGGGGTAGAGGGATCATCCCATGAGGAAAAATTAGATAAACTTGGGCAATAATTTGAAGAATGTGGGGTGATCTCATTTAAACATTTCAACAAGATGTTTCCTCTTGTGGGAGAATGTAGAACTAGGAGACATTGTTTAAGAACAAGGAGTTGGCCATTTAAGATAGAGACAAGACAGGATTTTTTGTCTTAGAGAATCACAAGTCTTTGGATCTCTCAAAAGGAGAACTTTTGAATATTTTTAAGGTAATAGTTGGTAGATTCTCGTTAGGCAAAAAGGTGGAAGGTTTTCTGTATACTGGAGAACTGTGAACAGTTTTGGTGCTCTTATTTAAGAAAATATATTATTTCATTTGAGGCAGTTCGGAGAAGTTTCACTAGGATGATCCCTGGTATGGAGGGATTGTCTTATGAGCAAAGACTAAACAGGTTGGGACTCTACTCACTGGAGTTTAGAAGATTAAGAGGCGATCTCAGTAAACATAAAGGATTCTTAAGGGGCTTGACAGGGGAAATGCTGAGAGGGTGTTTCTTCTCATGGGAGAATCTAGGACCAGAGGGCAATCTCAGGATAAAGGGGCACCAACTTAAGCTGAGATAAGGAGGAATTTCTTCTCTCAGAGTGTCGTGAGTTTTTGGAACTCCTTGTCACACAGAGCTGTCGGAACAGAGTCCTGTGTATATTTAAGGCTGAGATGGATTTATTCTTGATTGGTCAGGGAATCAAGGGTTTGGGGGAAAGGACAGGTAAGGGGACAAGAAGAATGTTGGAGCAGCTACGATCCTATTGAATGGCGGGGCAAGGTCGAAGGGCCGAATGGCCACTCCTGCTCCCATTTCCTGTGGTCTACAATCAGCCGTGATCTTACTGGATATGGCAGCATGCTAGAGGGCCCGAGTGACCTACTCTAACTCATATTTCACTTGTTCATGTGAAATATACAATATTGTTACAGGGCTTGAGAGGCCAGACAAAGGAAGGATGTCTCTCTGAGGAGTACTGCGATGGTGAGTGGAGTGAGGTTGTTGAGAATCGGGAATCACAGCCACAGAATGAGGGTCTCAACAAATAGGTCTGAAATGAGGAGAAACCTCCTCACTCAGAGAGTGGTGAGTCTTGGCAACTCACTACTCCTGAGGGCTGTGGAAGCTCAATCATTAAGTAAGTCCAAGGCACAGATCAATAGATTTTTAAATACAAAAGAACGTGATATGGGGATAGTATGGGAAAATGGCCTTCAATTAGAAGATGACCTCATTGAATAACAGAGCAGGCTAGAGGGGCTGAATGGCCCACCATGTATTTCTTATGCTCAACTCAAGGCCCCACCACGGCCACCCCAGGGCTCTTTAACACAAGAATGCATTGTGGATATTGCCCTCTGGAACAAGGGGGCACAGGTAGACAATTAGCTGGATGCACATGGACAGTAAGAATTGCTTACGTTCCTTCTCTTCAGATTCTTGGAGGGTGTACTCACTGAAACCCATGACTATGCATTCAGTTCTGATCTCCCTGCAATAGGAAAGGTGTTGTTAAACCTGAAAAGGTCCAGAAAAGATTTACGAGGATGTTGCCAGGGTTGGAAGGTTTGAGCTACAGGGAGAGGCTGAGTAGGCTGGGACTGTTTTCCCTGGAGTGTTGAAAGCTGAGGGGTGACCTTATAGAGGCTTATAAAATCATGAGGGGCACGGATAGGGTGAATAGCTAAGGTCTTTTTCCCTGGGTTAAGGGAGTCCAAAATAGAAGTTTAAGGTAAGAGGGGAAAAATTTAAAAGGGATCTAAGGTGCAACTTTTTCACGCAGAGGGTGGTGCGTGTCTGGAATGAGCCGCCAGAGGAAGTGGTGGAGTACAATTACAATGTTTAAAAGGCATCTGGATGGGTACATGAATACGAAGAGTTTGGAGGGATATGGGTCAAATGCTGGGACTAGGTTTATTTAGGATATATGGTCAGTAAGGACGAGTTGGACTTCAGGATCTGTTCCCGTGCTGCACAACTCTATGATTCTACTCTGTGACCTGATCAGGCTGCTCTTCATTTTACAGGGAGCGATGGTGGAGAAAAGGATTCTTGCCAGGGTGCACACTCGATTCATCGTCTCGCTGGCTTACGCCTTTCAAACTAAAGCGGAGCTGTGTCTGGTCATGACCATCATGAATGGCGGTGATTTGAGGTAGACAATAAATGGTGATGTGAGAGAGTTCACTCAGATTCATTAAGTTTCTTCACCAAAGAGGCCAAATCATTTCCTCAGTCTCTGTCCCAAATTCAAACATATTCCTCCCCCACACCCACAGCCAGCAATCTCCACACCCCCTCCCCGTCCCCCGACCCTACTCACAGCCCCTCCTGCCCAATGTTTGCAAACAACAGAAAACTGTAAATATTCACATCAGAAATATTCAGCGCCCTGGGACATCCCATTGCTTCACAATGAATTAATGGTCAGTAGATAAATGGAGTAGCTAGACCAGCACACAGCACGATTCTACAAGTAAACCGAGGAGGTGAACAAGCTGGGAAACTGTCTTGCCAATCTTGTTTGAATGGGCATTCGGAGGATTGCACAGTCCCCTTTCAAAACTGCTGTGGTGTTTGCTTTTGCTCGTTGGGGGAAGTGATGGGGCTGTCTGTTGAAAGAGCCAGGGTTGAGTTACTGTTTAAGATCAGGAGGCACGCATTGCTAGGATTTCCCACCAACATCAGTCCCATTCTCGATGATGTCATTCTTCCTGGGAAGAACAGCATTTAGTCACATAGTCATAGAGTCATACAGCACGGAAACAGATGCTTCAATCCAACCAGTCCAAATCGACTGTAATCCCAAATGAAACTAGTCCCACCTGCCAGCACTTGGCTCATATCCCTCCAACACTTCTTATTTGTGTACTTATCCAAATGTCCCTTAAATGTTAAAACTGTACCCACATCCACCACTTCCTCTGGAAGTTCATTCCACACACAAACCACTCACTGTGTAAAAAATGTTGCCTTTCATGTCCCTTTTAAACCTTTCTCGTCTCATCTTAAAAATATGATCCCAGTCTTGAAATTCTCCACCCTAGAGAAAAGACACCTGCTATTCACCTTATCAATGTCCCTCATGATTTTAAAAACTTCTATAAGGTCACCTCATCTCACCAAGGGAAAGAAGTCCCAGCTTATTCAGCCTCTCCCTACAACTGAAACCCTCCATTCCCGGCAACATCCTGGTAAATCTTTTCTGAACCCTCTCCAGCTTAATAATATCCTTCCTAATAGAGCGGGCAGAAATGGACCCACTACTCCAGAAGAGGCCTCACCAACGTCCTGTACAACCTCAACATGATTTCCCAAAAAGGGAAAAATGCAGTGGGAGGCACCAAGGATTTGGGGGAGGAGGGTTAGAAACACACAATTACCCTGGATAAAGGAAAAGACAGAGAATAGCCTGGTGCGTGGAAGGTGATGAAAGGAATGGTGGTGAATGCAGGGAACAAACTGAGACACAATGAGAGAAGTCAAAGACATAGGTAATGTCTAACCCTAACCTCAGAGCATGTTTCACTCCCAGACAATTCATTAGCCCGACCCGGAACGTCAGCTTTCCTGCTCCTCTGATGCTGCCTGACTTGCTGTGTTCCTCCAGCTCGACACTGTGTTATCCCTGACTCCAGCATCATTATCCTTCAATTTGTGCTCCCGAACAGCTTGACTTCACCTGCAGAGTGCATTTTTATCACAGACAGAAGCATAGGAGCCATTCAGCCCCTCAAGTCTACTGTTCTATTCTAGAACAAGGCAGATCATCTACCTCAAAACCATTTCCCCGTGTTATCCCCTTATACTTTGATGCCATGAGTGTCAAGAAATTTATCAATCTCTGTCTCAAACAGACTCTATAACTGATTCTCCACAAGCCTCTGGGGCAGACATTTGTATTGATTCACTAACTTCTGAGTGAAGAAATTCCTCCTCCTCTCAGTCCTAAATGCCACTGAGACTATATCCCCTGGACCCCACCATCAGGAAAAGCATCCGTTTTGCATCCTGTCTGTTAAAAATTCCGTAAGTTTTGAGAGATCATCTTGTGATGTATAATGAGGCAGTTTTAATAAATGATCTCAGAGTAAAATACCTGTAGGAAACAGTGACCCTAACATGGTAGAATGTAGCATTCAGTTTGAAAAGGAGAAACTTGGATCAGAAACAACTGTGCCAAACTTAAATAAGAGTCATTTAAAAAGGAATAAGGACAGAGCTAACTGGGGCAGACTTGGAAAGGCATTTAGCAGCAAAGATGGGCAAGGAATAATGGCAGAGGTTTAAAAAAATAGCTCATTGCTCACGACAAAGATACACCCCATTGAGGAAGAAGTAATTTAGGTAGGGGATAAGTCCACCATGCTTAACCAGGGAAGTTAAGCACAGCATCAAACGCAAAGAAAAGCATTCAATTTGGCAAAGATTATCGATAAGCCAGAAGTTTGGGAAAGTTTTAAAACTTACAAAACACTATTTTTTGAACAAAGGGAGAAGATAACATTTGAGGGTAAACTTGCAAGGCAAACAGCAAGAGAGAAGCATTAGTGAACATAGGCTCCTTAGAGAATGAGGCCGGGGAAGCAATAATGGGGAACTAGGAAATGACAGAGGAGTTGAATAAATATTTTGCATTAGTCTTCATAATTAATAGCATTCCAAAAATACTAAATAATCAAGGGTGTAAAGAGGGGTGGAAATAAATACAATATCTATCACTAAAGGATAAAGTACTAGGGAAACTAATGGGACTAAAGATCAATAAGACCCCTCAATGTAACGGAATGCATCTTAGGATATTAAAAGATGTAGCTACAGAGATAATGGATGTGCTGGTAGCAATCTTCCAAGAATCCTTAGATTCAGGAAATATACAAGAAGATTGGAAAACTGTCAATGTAACGCTTTTATTTGAAAAGGGAAAGTGAAAAAAATAGGTGAATTTCTCTTATGGGAGAATCTAGATTCAAAGGGCATAATCTCAGAATAAGGGGACACCCACATAACACAGAGATGAAGAGGAATTTCTTATCTCAGAGGGTAGCGATTCTGTGGAATTCTTTACTGCATACTGCCTTCTTTATAACATATATTTACAATATATTAATGACTTGGATGAGGAAAGTGCATGTAATATACTTAAGTTTGCAGAATACACAAAAGTAGGTGGGAAGGCAAGTGGTGAGGATGACACAGGAGTCTGAAGAAGGATATAGATAGGTTTAGTGAATGGGCTAAAACTTGACAGCTGGAATACAAAGTTGAAAACGTGAGGTTTGGCAGGAAGAATAGAGGAGCTGAGTGTTATTTAAATAGGATAAGGCTGCAGAAACCTGCAGCACAAAGGGAATTGGGAGCCCTCGTATATAAATCACACTAAAAAGCTACATACAGGCTCAACAAATAATAGAGAAGGCAAATGGCACTTTGGTCTTTATTTGAAAGGGGATGGAGTGTAAAACTGGAAAGTTTTGCTAAAACCAAACAAGGCACTAGTTCCACAGCTGGACTACTGTGAACAGTTTTGGGCCCCTTACGTAAGGAAAGATTTCCCAACATTGGAGGCAGTCCAGAGAAGTTTCACTAGGCTGATCTCAGGTACAGAGGGACTGCCTTATGTGGAGATGTTGACCAGGTTGGATTTGCACTCAATGGAGTTTAGAAGAATGACTTATTGAAACATACAAAATTCTTACGGGGGCTTGACAGGGTTCATGTGGAAAGGTTGTTTCACCTTCTGGGAGAGTTTAGGACCAGAGGGTATCAAATCAGAGTAAGGAGTCATCTATTTAAGACAGAGGAGGATTTTTTCTCTCTCACAGGGTGGCGATTCTGTGGAATTCTTTACCGCAGAGAGATGTTGAGTCTGAGTCGTTAAATACATTCAAGCTGAGATAGATAGAGTTTTAGTCAGTAAGGGAATCATGAGTTATGGGGAAAAGGCAGAAAAGTGGAGTTGAGAAAATCAGATCAGCCATGATTTCACTGAATGGCAGAGGGGACTCGATGGGCTGAATGGCCTACTTATGCTCCTATGTTTTTCTTTTATTCTGTTGCTCTTCCTCTGCACGTGATGTCTCCTCATAGGACAGTTCAACCATCCCTAGAATCTGTCTGGTGAAACTCTGCTGCATTCCCTCTATGGCCAGTATATTGTTCCTTAGATAAAGGGAGAAGAACTGCACACAATATTCCAGGAGTGGTCTCACTAAAGTTCTATACAAGAGAAGCAAGACTTCTTTACTCCTGTAACTGAGTAGGGAAAGAATGGAACAGGTTCTGGTAGGTCTACTAGGAAGGAGAGAAGGGCAGAAATCTGTGGTGTAGAAATTGGAAAACATCAGATAGAACACGTTATACATATTTCCTATTCAAAGGAACACATCTTTAAAGGAGATAACAAGGTGTAGAGCTGGATGAACACAGCAGGCCAAGCAGCATCATAGGAGCAGGAAGGCTGACGTTTCGGGCCTAGACCCTTCATCAG